CAATAAACATATTACATAACTCCTCAGCACACACAAAAGAATAAACACCCACTTCCCCACTCTATCCCGGGTGTGCATCTGGGTACGCGGGTAATCTTCACCTCTGCAGATGTGCTGCCCTCCAGCGGCTAACCCCATTGAGCCAGAGCGAGAGCGCCATCTGTCGTGGAGTTTGGGTTAGGGCAGAGCACTTATATCAACTGATTTATATGCTCTGATTTATATGCTCTGATTATAACTGATTTATATGCTCTGGTTAGGGTTAGGGTTAGGGCAGAGCATATAAATTAACTGATTGATATAAGTGCTAGTATATATAACTAGTTGATATAAGTGCTCTGGTTAGGGTCACAATCAATCTCATCACAGAGATGAAAATTGCTCTCTTGTTTGTTGTGGCGGCGCAATCTAATATGATCCATCTAATCTAATCTAATCTATCAGAGATATGAGCCGATAGTCACGTGATCTCTGTGGTGAGAATGGGTCACAATGCAGTGAATGCACCATAAAACAGGAGTTTGAGGCACGTGATTTGTATCAACCAATGGCAGCGCTCGCTAGAGCCCTATGTTCTTGATTGACCTAGGAAAAAAATACACGCAACCACTGATCTCTATAATAGTAATATTTGCACGCAACCCGCGTCAAAGTGAAATTGTCTCAGCAGGTCTATGTTGATGCCGCCATCTATCTGTGACTGTTTTCATTAGAAGCTCAGTTGACGGTGCATCGTTTTTGATGGACACCATTTGCATGAATCAGGTATGTACATTTTTTTGGACGAGTCTGTTTTTTATGTTTAAACTGATATTTTTTAGAAATGAATCATCTGCTAAATCACTGTGATCTTGTGGAATTCTTATGTAGGCTATTTTGTTGAATCTAAGGCCTATATGTGTGCCATATGCATGATGACATTCTTTGCGTAGTTGTCTGTAGAGTCCCTATATACAGAGAGTTGCGCCATGACGAGTCGGAAAAAATCGGTCACGTGATCGCTGCCGGCATGTTGTTTCCAAATGGATCAACACCGCTGCCGCTTAAGTACAGCGCTGTATGGATACGCTGTACAATGGTCCGTAGTAATTAATTAGACTAATCGTGCTTCAATAAACTCAAAAATTACAGAGATTATAGCTAAGACATGTGTCTATGTGTAGCTAGATTTATAGAAATGTAACTCAAATCGTTCTCAATGATAGTTTAATTGTACAC